TAAGTTGGAACCTCATAAATATATATACCACGGTAGACAGTTTTGTCAGAAGTGAACAGTGGGGCTGGCTCAAGAAATTAGAGGAGTTAACGAACGTTTAATCAGAATGCTACTCGCACCATTAGTTTTGGAACTCTTCGCTGGCTGCTGAAGAAGGGAACGGAGTGCTTATGGGAATGCTCCGAGTGCTGTGATGTCGGTTCTTGAATCAAATCAAGTCAAATCAAATCTCTCTCTCTCTCTCTCTCTCTCTCTCTCTCTCTCTCTCTCTCTCTCTCTCTCTCTCTTTCTTTCTGTGTGTGTGTGTGTGTGTGTGTATGTATGGTAAAAAGTAGCTACTGTATTTTAAGATGACAAAATCACGTTTACACCTTCTAAAATTCTACCTAACTTTTCGAAATCGTACCTAAATGGTTTTGGAAATATATTGGTACATTTCTAAAAAGAAGCCATTATTTTGAACTGAAACCTTGACTGAACAATCCTAAATTGTCGAAATAGATCCTCAACACCCCCCCCCCCCCCCCCCCCCCCCCCTTAAAAAATGAATTTGTCAAAATCGAATCGTATATTTCTAAACAAACTAACTGAACTTTTCGAAACAGTACCTTAACTTCTGTTTAAAATAAATAATAACTATCATTTTCGACATGTTAATTTATCTTACGAAAACAGTAGGTAAACTTAGCAACAAAGAACCTAAACTTTTGAATATAGTACCAAGACGTTTCGAAGTTGTAGTGTTTCGAAATAAAACGGTAACATTTATAAAAAAAACGAACCTTAACTTATCGAAATAGAACCCCAATTTTTCGAAGTAGAACCTCTGCTTTTTTTTTTAGAAAGATAGGCTTTTGATTTTCGCTGCGTATTTCTCTGAAAGAAAAAAAAAAACGAAAAAAAAAAACAAAAAACTTTTCCATAAATTCCAATGCAATAACATCCAGTTCAGTAGTATTTATGTTTGCGTTGTTCTTCATTTTAACTTCCATCAATCATCGCTGTGTTTTAATGAAGCCTAATTTTCCTCTTATCTGGTTATCCACGGGGATTGTTCCGTCGTGTAAACAGATCGGTTTTTGTTTTGTTTTTTTGTTGTTGTTCTTTCATGCATTAAAATGATTTCGTCTATTGGATGTTATCTGCGATAAAACCCATGCCTTGTCGGTTTTTCTGCTTATATATGTCTGCTTACTTGTGTGTCTGTCTAAGTGTCTGCCTGTCTGGTCAGTCGATTTTCTTGTCAGTCGTTCTTCTTATTTGTTAGCCCACTCGCCCCACAGCTTGTTTATTATTCGTCGGTCAGCCCTACCGTCAGAACGCTGTCAATCTATCTATCTGTGTTTCACCTCTGTGACTGATATAAAAAGGAGACCCAAAAAATGTCAAACGTTCGAAAGATTAGTTTATCCACTCCTACAGTTTGGCATATTATCGTGGGATTTGAAAATGTCAATCTGTCTGCAGACCACAAGGCATGTTTTAACGGCTACACCGTCAGCGTTGTGGTGCCCAGTAGGATCCCCGCAGTAGGCGATTTGACAATAAACTGCCTTGCGCTGTTTTTGACATTGGTATTAACAGCCAACCGTTTAGGAAGCGTTAACAAATTACTGAAGGTAAAAATTGCTTCCTAAAATCACAAACGGCCTAAAAAAATGTTGGTGTTTGTTTCTGTTATATCCTGTAAAGGGTACACAGCTAACTTTTTTAACGACTTAAACAGCCAGGTGAAAGTCGCCATGGTATAGCGGTTAGACTTTAGTGTGGATCCCAAGGTCGTGGCTTCAACTCTTTTCAAAAATGTTCTCGTCTCCCAGGTCGACCTAGCCTTAAAGTTTTAGCTGGTAAAGTTCTGGGAAGATTGGGGCAGTTAAATATAGCTCTAGCGCCAAATGCCCTGTTATGTCATGTTATCACAATCGTCGTGACTGCACACTGGGCATTCCCATGTGTGCTCAGTCCTCTGATGCAGCAATCAATACAAGGTCTCCTACTTCGACCTCAAAGACAGCATAGACGTGCTTCACCAATGCTTTACCCTAATGTCGCGCATTGGTGTTAGTGTCAGAGATTCGTCATTATCCACTAGCCCATTCCCTTCAGTGTTAATGATATCTGCTCTGTCCATGCCTCTTCCGAAATGCCATATTTGCCCTATACGCCTGAGGGCGTGGAAAAGTGTCCTTAAAATAACGAAGGTTTACCTTCAGCTCTATGCGGTTAAGTAAGAAGAAACTCCACAGGCAAGCATGTACAGCAGGAATCTACCAATCATCAGTAGAAGTAATCTCTCGTCGACACATGTTTCGGCCCACGAGCCCATGCATCTTCCCAAACGCCCCATTTGCCCTATACGCCTGATGGCGTGGAAATGTGTCCTTAAAAAACCTAAGTTTTACCTTCAGCCCTATGCGGCTAAGGATGAAGTCAAACGTAAGCTGTAACGTAACTTAAACACATCTAAAGCCATCACCATTGAATCTCTCTCTATTCCCAGTCTGCCTGCAGGTGGAACAAGACACGATCGCCGTGTTCGGACCTCGCCACCAAGATCTAGCAGCTTACGTGAACTCACTGTGTGCCTCCATGCAGATCCCGCACATGGAGATGAGGAGTGACGCCACTGTCCCCAACAATATCCCCGTGCATGCACTCACTCTCAACCTGTACCCAGGGTTTCAGCAGGTCGGCATGGCATACACGGACCTCATCAGCTACTACGGATGGACAGAGATTCTCATCGTCTATGGGACTGCTTATGGTTTGTGTTTGTTCATTATCATCATCATCATCATCTTCATCTTTTCCCCTTTCTTGTTCTTTTTACTCTTCTCTACTCGACTTTATTTTCCCCCACCGCCTCCTGCAAGACACTGCCAAAAAGCACACACTTACACACACACACACACACACACGCATATATATATATATATATATATATACATATATATATATATATATATACATATATATGTGTGTGTGTGGATGTGTGTATTTGTGTGTGTGTGTGTGTGTGCATGCGTAAATGTCAGTCGGTCCGTTTATGAGTGTTCTAAAGACTGAATGTAAAACGGCCACGCAGTCCAAAACTGTGAGCTCCTGTAAATAGTTTATTCGTTCGCTTTTCTTCTTTTCTTTCCCGCATTCTGATCATAATCATCATTTACTTTCATCTGACCCTTCTGATGAGTATCATGTTTGTAGTCATGCCCGATCATAACGTGGTGTTCTGTGTACTGCCACTGTTCTTCGGGCATTGATGTCAGTCAGTTAAACATCCTTTTCTGTCTGTTCCTACCTCTTCTTTCCAAAAAAAAATTCGATTTCTCACTACAGAAACCAGTTATGCCTTTGCATGACGAATCAACACAATGAGACTTCTTTGCTTTCGAAACTAATAATCAATTCACAGCGTGAGACCACCATCCCTCCCTCCCCCTTTTTTCCCCTTTCCCAGATGAATGTCGGCATGGCACTTGTTATTGTGTACTGGAGTTGCACCGCTTTTCTAAAACACATCTCTTTAGCCTGCCTGTAATTTCGCACCATTATGTAACTGGCCCTTATTTACTTTTCTACAACAAGAAAGGGTTGAAATATCTCAAGAGCACAGCTTCTCATCACTAGCCACAAACGTAAAACCTATTGCGCGCCTTCAGGCGTATTGGATTTGTAGTCTTATTTGCGATAGTCTTATTTGGATTTGTTCCAATTGCTCATGCCCAAGAGCGTCGCAGGGAGATGACTGATGTAATTTCCTGACTTTTGTTAGTTGCGTAGCTTATGTTAATGCTTTATTGGGTTTTTAAGTGTCTCTTTTACTCCCTTCATTCAACAAATAAATCGTAGCTCGAACAGTAAGTGGCTGCTGCAGTAGCCCTAATGCCCTAAATCATTAGGGTCAAAGATCCAGAAGCCTTCACTGTAAAAGTGGTCAATGCAAACAGTAATGCCAGCTTGTGTGTGTGTGTGTCAGTAACATTTTTGTTGCACAAGTTGCGTGGGTAGTGATGGTGGTGGTAGCAGCAGTCGTACGAGAAGCAGATGTTGTTGTTGTTGTCTGAGGAGGAGGAGGAGAAGTTGCAACAGCATCATAAACAGATTACAGTCTGCCAATAGTGTTTGTGTATCTCATTAGCCACTATTATCTTAGTGATATTATAGCTTAGGGTGTAAAGTACGATTGATGCATCTACTAAATAGTCTTAATTTATGTGTTTTTATTTCTGTATCAGGGCTGAGTAGGGTGCAGAGAGTTTTGCGTGGAGATTATGGATCGTTGGAAGAAATACTTGTCCGTCATATTGACGCCTCCAACATGAGACGAATTCTGAAGGAAGCCAAAGAGAAACGATGGAAGCGAATATTGGTGGATCTGACCGTGGATGAGACTTGTTTATTTTTGAAAATGGTAAGTATAATAGACTGAAATAAAATATCCCTTTTCCACCGCTTTAGGCTTCTTTGAAATATAGGGCTAGATATATATTTTTATAGACCAACCCGCCCTTTGTAGGTGATGTGATCAGTATCACGCCAGCAGCCTTTACTTTCCAGGACTGCACCTGATGGGTCAACCTGGGAGTCAAAGTCATTTTTGAAAAAAAAAAGTCCGGTTTCGTCAGGACACGAACCCACGACCTTCCTATCAGCAAGCGAGAATTTAGCCGCTAACACTACGGGGACTCCCATTACAGACGGACATGGCTAAGACATATTGAAAGAATGCCAGATGACAGAGAGGTAAAAACTATTTATTCAAGGGGTTCAATTGTCGTAGACCACGAGGCAGAACAAGAAGACGGTTGTGAGGTGAAATAAGGGAGACCTGCAAACGAGATAGTTTAGTTGAAAGTGAATAGCATAGAAAGAAGAAAAAAATAAATAGTTATTTGTTTAAGGCGAGATATATCAAGAACCAAGAAAGACACAGAATTGCAGGATATTAAAGAGAACACTCTGAGACAGAAAATGGTATCATTTATCCCAATAAAACGAAATACAGAATTTCAAACTTTACTTCATAAAAAAGCACTTCAACTGGAAATTCCCAGCAAAATCGTTCATCACAGTGTATGAACATAAAAATATGAACATATGGAAATGTACATGTAGAAAACACGCCATGTGTGTGGAATCTTCTAGATTATACATACATATATATATATATATATATATATATATATATATATATATATATATATATATATATATATATATATATATATATATATATATATATATATAGATATCTTGAAAGGATATCAAGAAAACGAAAAGTAGAACTAGTAAGCTTCATATAATCACAGACATAGCCGACATGTGAGCTTTGTGAATATAGTGCCTTGATCAATACAGCATCAACAAAAGTATAGAAGGTCACTTGTCACAACGGTACTTCGATAAAATGCCAGTACGGGTGAGTTTGACAGACACATATAGTATTAGTTTTAGGAGGGCAAGACATACAGAAGAAGTGAAATTATTGATCGGCAGTGAAACTATAAAAGAATCGTGAACATATATCAAGTAAACGAAAAGTTGAATGTTGGATTAAGAATCGACATCACATTACTAAGGACACTCCCATAACTGCTCAGACCCTATGTTCAGCATAAAGCGAAGAGTTCCAATTCCGATGGTACCAGTAACAGTCTAATTGTAATATCCGTCTTATCCTTCACAGGAATCCACGAAAAGTACAACCTGTAAGCTTCACATAATCACAAATTCATTCATTCATTCAGTAGCATGTCCCTCGCGGAACCTCGCTGCCATAACAACCCTCCGGAAAACCTTCCTATCATGAGCAAGATGTCCTGCGTCTGATACACCCATCTGGAGATCATCTGCCACATCCTGCACCCATCTTCTCCTTGGCCTTCCTCTTCCTCTCTTCCCAGGCATATACCCCTCCATTATTGTTCTCTCTAGACCTCCATGACGTTTCAAGTGACCAAAATATTTCAATTTTCTTTGTTTTATTGTCTTTACTAGCCAACCCTCTTCAATATTCAGCTCTTGAAGTATGGATGCATTTGTTCTTTTCTTTACCCAAGATATTCTTAGAACCTGTCTGTAACATTTATATTCAAATGCATTTATGCGCTGTTCCGCTTGTTTAGTAAGTGTCCAGGTCTCACAGGCGTATGTTGCAATGGGAAAGATGCATGCTCTTAAAAATCTGACCTTTGTAATTCTATCTGTACAATTCCATAATTTATTCAGTTGTTTTAGTCTTTGAAGAGCAATTGATAGTCGCCGTTTAATTTCTTTCATTGTGTCACCATTGTTGGTAACCAGTGACCCAAGATATTCGAAATTTTCCACCACTTCCAATCTTTCCTCATTAACATATATTTCCTTCTCCATGGCAGTTTTGTTTGTATGCATTATCTTTGTTTTTGCTGTGTTAAGAAATAAGTTATGATTTTCACTATTTCTTTGGAGTGAGGTTAATAAGTTTTCTAAACCATTTTGTGATGTTGATAGTAATACTGTATCATCAGCATAACGAATTTCTGGTATTTCATGACCACCGATGTTTAGGGCATCATATTGTTCCTTGTTTATATCATCTCTTACATTTCTCATTATATTTTCGGCGTACAGGTTGAACAAATACGGTGACAGCACACATCCCTGACGGACTCCTTGCTTGATGCCAAACCAGTCTGATGTCTCTCCATCTATTCTGACTGCTGCTTGTTGGTCTTGATAGAGCATTTTAATGAGCTGCACTATATGTGATGGAAAGCCCATATTCCTCATGATTTCCCAAAGCTTCTGATGTTGTACACAGTCAAATGCTTTTGAATAATCCACAAAACATAAGAACAGATTTACATTAAATTCTCTACACTTCTCTATTATTAAACGCATGTTGAATATATGATCTCTTGTTCCTCTTCCCTGTCTAAATCCAGCCTGAGCTACATTAATCTCTTCTTCCATTTTCTTTTGCAGTCTTCTCATTATAATTTTTAGTAGAATTTTACTTGCATGACTGATCAGGGCAATAGTTCGATAGTTTGTACATAATTTCAGGTCACCCTTTTTTGGTATTGGAATGAAGATAGTTCTCTTCCAGTCTTTTGGCCAAATACCATATTTCCATATCTTTTCACATAATGCATGATAGATTTTTATGCTTTTCTTCTCCTCCCGCTTTAATCAATTCAGCTGGTATCTCATCACATCCAGGTGATTTACCATTTTTCAGGCTCCTTATTGCCCATGAAATTTCATCTAATGAAGGTTCAGGTTCTGCCTCTACTGTTACTGGTTCATGTATATCATTCATATCCTCACTGTCATTCATATCATACATTCCGCTGCAGTATTCCTGCCATCTTCCTAGAATTTGTCTAGATTCTGTTAAAGTATTTCCCAACCTGTCACAAATAACATTTAACTGAGGTTGAAAATTTCTTGTCAATAACTTCATTTCCTTGAACATTTCGTAATCTCTTCCATTTTTGTGATGCTGCTCTATTTTAATACAGCAATCTTGTACATACTGATTTTTATCCTTTCTTGTGTACTTTCTTATTTCTCGTGTAAAAAATTTATACTTCATCCTACTATCATTGGTTTCTCCTTTCTTTTTCAGTTCTCTTCGTTGTTTTATTAGTTCTAACGTGTATGGTGTGATCCATGGTTTATGTTGCTTAGTCCTGGTGGGTATTAAGTCTTTAGCTGCTGTTATCAAGATATCCCTAGCTTGTACCGCCAGTTCATCAGGTGTCATTTCCTCTTGTACAGACATCAAGACCTCAAAACGGTTCTTCACTTCTACGTTGTATGCATCTGGTATTTTTGTGAGATCAAATCGAAATGGCCTTGGTCCTCGGGTAAGCTTTTTGAGTTTTAATTTTAGATCTGCTTCTAGTAACTGATGATCTGTATCGCAATCTGCACTTCGCAGGGTTTTTGCAGATGTTATGCTCGATCTCCATCTTCTTTGTATTAAAATGTAATCTATCTGATTTTTGGTAACACCGTCAGGGGATGTCCATGTGAAAAGCCTTCTAGGGTGTTGTTTATAAAGTGTGTTAGCTATTGTTAATTCATTTTCTATGCAAAATTCAATCAATTTTTCTCCTGTTTCATTTCTATTACCCAATCCAAATTTTCCTAAAACGTGTCTCTCATTTTCATCTCTGCCTGTACCTACTTTAGCATTAAAATCTCCCATTATTATTATTATATCATTCTGATTAATTTTATTTAATGTGTCTTGCAGTATGGCATAAAAATCTTCAATTTCGCCCTCCTCTGCTGTTGAAGTTGGTGCATATACCTGCATGAAAGTTATGTTTTTTGGACGGCCTTTAAGTCTGATAGTTAGGATTCTATCACTAACTGGATTATATCCCATAATAGCTTTTGCTGTTGTTTTATCTAAACAAAATGCCACTCCGCTCTGGCCTCTTACACAAATGCGCGCCTATCACAAATGCGCGCCACAAATGAACTTTGCGCCAAGGGTGTGCACACAATTACACTCATAAAATATTGACGATGCATCAGGAAGCCAGAAGGGAAACAAATATACCAGAAACAGTCGAGATAGAGAAATGAATAAAACACATTTATGAGCAAATAAAAATGCGAAATTTTGTAGTTTCTGTTGCGGTGAGAAACTCTGTAGCATATGGGAAATAATATTTATCATATATTTCAAATATACATTTATCATAACACTTTGCCTGTCCTCGAAGACGATAAAGTAAAACGTAAGGACCCTCATCACCTCTTTGGTACACCCTACATCGAAAATACAGTGCTTGCCCTATCAACTGCATTGCACTGACTATTATTGCATATTGATCAGTCTCTCTATCTGCAGAGCAACTATCCTCCGTCCCATCATTTTGCTTGCAACACGAACTGTGTAGCGCCGGTGACGATCCTCGTGGGTTTCCGTTAAAAAAGTGCATTCGTGAACTAAACTATGCAGCCGCGAAAAGAATCCACGACCTTCTAAACTCAGGGCAAACGGCTCGTCCACCTGGCCACAGGTTATAGACCAGCAGTTTTCAGCTGATTCTTTCCAGGAGCACCTCGTCAGCCCAAGAGAATATGGTCAAGTGTTGACAGAATCATATTTATTGATGGGGATCACTGTGGTCATTTTCAATGTACATCTGGGAATTTTTTTTTTTTTTTTTTTATGTCTTTGTTTTATTTTTTTGGCGTTGTGTGCCCTTACTACTTGCTTCCTCTTTATTCACTCTTTAACATTACTTTCAAACACCATTAACTTGTGAGACATGGGGCACTGCAGTCCTGAGGAACTCCGCAATATAAAACCACTTTAAAATGGGATCTGCGAGTGAAAATAGTTGGAACCCACTTTTATAGTCCAATCAGCACTGGGTGGGTGATACGGTCACAGTCAAGCCTGATATCTTGTTTTAGCAGGTCACTCTGCAGCGGAGTTTAAGGTGGGTCGAGCTGTGAGCAAATGTCAGTTTTATATATATATATATATATATATATATATATATATATATATATATATATATATATATATATATATATATATATATATACACACACAATATACGTCCAGCACTATATGACCAGTACGACTGAAGGCGTGAAATGGTCCTTTACTTTATCCTCAACCACTGTTAGACTGCCGGAACAACAGGTTAAACGGACCGTGACTAGACAGTAGACAGGAGTACTTTTCAGGACACCAAAGAATGGAAACCAGCACAGATTTGAAGTCGTTAGTCGCTATGCACTGCGCGGTTTATTGAGGAGAGAATCCGGCTTCAAGCACCTATGGACTGAATGTTGTAAAACTGATCTGCCAAATAACTGAATGTTTAGTGACTTTGATCTGCCAAATTACTGAATGTTAAGTGATGCTGATCTGCCAAATAATTGAATGGTTAGTGACGCTGATCTGCCAAATAACTGAATGTTTGTTGACGCTAAACTGCCCAATAACTGAATGTTTAGTGACGTTGATCTGCCAAAAAACTGAATGTTTAGTGACGTTGATCTGCCAAATAACAGAATGTTTAGTGACGTTAAACTGCCAAATAACTAAGCTCTTCGCTGGTTGCTATTATATGATTGAAAAGGGAATTTCATACTTCTACAGGCGCTGCAAGAAGGAATGATTGACCCCTATCATCATTACATCATTACAAATTTGGTAAGTTTGTGTGCGTTTGTGTGTGCGTGCATGCTTTATTCGTCATCACAGTAATAAATCTACCGTTTTTATGTTAAACGTTCTTATGCAAGTGAAGTGATTATCTATACCATTAGTCTACAACCTTAGGGCGCAAACAGGTTTCAAAAGGGGAGACAGGAAATGCTTAAATTTGATTCATGTGTGATGATGCCTTATACCTACATTTTGATTTAGTTTAATTATAAATGGAAAAAAAAAATAAAGTATTTGAAAGAGAAAACTACAAGGACATTTTTAATGAGCAGTTTGTACATCTACCGTTGAAAAGCTACTTTATTTACTAACATGCGAATTTATTGAAACAAAAAAAACACTTTCTGAGCAAAACTGATCTGCATGCTTTCTGTTCCGTTTGTTTCGGATTCTACTGTCCTTCTCTTTTTAACTGCATTTTTATGTTTGAAAACAAAGCCACAATGTAGAGTTTGAGAATCGAGTTGGAGGCAGTCACTGCGGACTTTAGCTGGCTTATAAACAATTGCAAACACATCTTGCGACTGTGACTGACTCACAGAGAATGATGATATAAGGTGGAGACAAATATGTAATTGCAGAGTGGCAAACATCGCTTCAGAGGTCATGAGTATCATTTAGTATGTTCTCCAGGGCATGCAGATGTGTCGTGAAACGAACAGGTGGACAGACTGACTGGTTTTACACAACTTAGTGGTAAATTTATGTATGACGAGTAAGATGTTGTTGGGGTCTTTTATAAGTGAATGAATTAACAGAGCGGAGGTACAAACAGATCCTCACCTTTTGAGAAGAATGTTGCAGCAGAGAGAGGCAGCAGTGGACCTGACCGACACTTAAAACTAAAGGTAAAGGCAAGACATACGTACAACAAGTCTACTACTGTCACCCTGGAACTGGAACTCTGCGCTGGCTGCTGATAATGGGAAAGGAGCGCTCCTGGGAGTGCCCTGAGTGCTATGATATCGGCTTTTAACTCAGCTCAACCCAAATGAACAGCATTATGCCATAATCTCTACCATAATCATCATCGATACCAACACCAAGACTAGTGTTAAACCACGGAAGTTGAGGGAACCAAAGAACAGTAGCAATATAATCAAATTGTCATTCGCAGTTCCACATTCAAGGCAAACAAGTCAAGCCCATATTGCTCCGTTTCTATGCAACTAAACAACTATAATTTATAGACCAGTCATCACTAATTGGGCAATGTGATTGACACAGACCTGCCACAGTTACCTCCCATATCGCTACCCTTCACCCATTGTAGACTGGCTCGGTCTGGGACATAAGGTCAATTTTGTAAAATCAATCAGCCACTGTGTTATTCGAACTTAAGGCTGTGTAAAGTAGCAACTGCTTATGACTAAAACGACAAAGGACATAAGAAGGCCATACAACATTGCCAGTGGAGATGTACAGCTTTTCTAGGCGCTGAATCTAAATAACCATGATTAATAATTATAAGTAAATGTTTTGATCAAATGTAGAAAATACTATCTATATTTTAGGATATAGAATCGATCGATATGGAGGACTTCCGGCACAACTACGTGAACCTCACCGGGTTCCGATTGGTTGACCCCAGTGACCCCTACGTGAGGAAGATCATTCATGACATGGAGATCTATGAGATGCAGACGGACCTGAGTTTGTTGAACACTACGGGTTATCTGTCCCTGCCGGTGAGTATCTTTGTGGGTTTGAATGTGTGTGGTGTTTTCTTTTTCTTCTTCTTCTTCCTTTTCTTCTTCTACTTCTTCTTCGTCTTCTTCAGTTAGCATATTGTGTTGCGGTTTGCAGCTAGGCTGTGCTATCTGTGCCTTTACGCATAGAACATCTGACTGGACTAAACCCTTCATTTTTCACAGTTTACGACACGCTTTTATAGAAACCTTTTTGTCTTTTGTGTGTCCAAGTGTTTGGGCATCATTGAGGATCGGTGTGGATTTCTGGTTGTATTATGTTGGTGTGTGTGTTGTTGTTGTTGACATAATTGTTGATCTGTTTGTGTGAGATGTGAGTGTAAGTGTGAATCTGTGTGCAGTTTGTTGTGTTAACTGTTTGTGTGTGAGTTATTTGTATAATTGTGATTCTGTATGTGGGTTGTGGGTATAATTGTGAATCTGAATGTAAGATGTTGGTATAATTGTGCTTCTTTATGTGAGTTGTTGGTATAGTTGTGAATATGTACGTGAGTTGTTGGTATAATTATTCATCTCTGTGGGTGTTGTTGGTATAACTGGCAGTCTATATGTGAGCTATTGCTATAATTGTGGGTGTATAGGAGTTGCTGGTATAATTGTTAACGTTTATGTGAGTTGTGGGTAAAATTATCATTCTGTATGTGAGAGAGAGCTCCACTGCTTCTTAACAAGCCTTTCGTATAAGACGACCTATTAAATATTGGCTGAAATCGGATTTATTTGACCTAAATATATTACAGCTTAGTTGAAAACCAGAACCGAACGGACAACCGCCCTTCAAAATATTTTAAATATATAATTATACTTGCGCCATTTAAAACATAATAATAACTATAATTTTAATTACGTTTGTTGTAATTGCGAAAGAACATGTTATGCAAAATATCTCTGTCGCTGAAGGTTAGAAAAAGAATTCTTGCTTGTTACATACATCCAGTTTCAACATATGGCTATAAATCCTGGACAATCGGTAGGCAGGCTAAACAATTTCACGAAATCCCAGAGATATGGTTTTACAGAAGAATGCTTAAAATACCGTGGACAGCCGAAAAGAGCAACCAAGAGGTTTTGAAAGAGGCGGGAGCCAGAAGGCAACTTATCACAGACATCAGGAGACAGTCATCATTTTTCGGCCATGTAATGGGAGGAGGGACAACGGAACATGTTGTGACCTCTGGAAAGACCTTTGAAAGGAGGGATAGAGGAAGACAACGAAAAAAGATTCATGACAGTCTTTTTGCATGTTACAGAGGTGTGTCAGCACAAATACATACATACTGCGGGTGATCACAGATTGTGGAGAGGCATGATCGCCCACTCCAGTCGGCAAGGCACCTGATGATGATGACATTTGCGCAAGTAATCAAGGCTGAAATACCTGAGCCTAATTACGCTAGAAAATTATTTGAGGGTTGGAACCTCCACCCATGGTGTTTCTTTTGTGGCGGCGCCCCCGGCCAAAGGCGGGTTCGTTTTCCCTTAGAATTCCAGACTGCCTGTCCCTCCTGGATGCTTGCTCAAAACTTAACATTATCGCCACCATCATGTGTCCTGCCGATAGGGACAGGCTGTTATGTTTCGCCATCTCACACGATCACCAGAATCATGGACAAGGTCAGTGCGCTTGCCTCGTTGCATCCATAAGCCATTTATGATTATATCTGTTCACAACTTCGTTTCTCTTTCATTATCACAGTTGCAGTGGTCACAAGGTTGCTGGGTCCATTTCTCCGCATAGTATGTCCAGACAGCTCCAACGATCTATGTCTAATTTCTCGAGGCAGTTTAATGGTTTCATATGTCTCAAGGGTCGGCGTCTGTGGCTTAGTTGTTGCGAACGCACTTAGTAATGCCGGGGTGCCGGGTTCGATCCCAGTTGCGGACAAACTGTCTTGCGTTGGTTTCGACATTGGTATCGAGAAGCCTACCGTCTAGAAAGCAATGGCAAAAAATTGGACATAAATTTGCCGAAAAAACCACAACAGCCACACACACACACACACACACAAAACTATAAAAGGATACGCAAATAGCAATAACAGCAATGTCTCAAGGAGTACGGCCTCTTTTGTTTTTCTATTATTTCATATTCCTTACATTCTTCTCGAAAATCCAGTCTTCACTGTGAGTACATGTCTTTTTTGTTCTGTTTAGGTTTTGTGCTTGTTGTCCAAGTCTCACATTTTTATAACAATGCATGTTTTTTAAAGCACTTTAACACTGTGTGTGTTTGTGTGGTGGCTGATGGGTGGGTGGGTTTGGGGGTGGGTATGTGGGTGTGGGTGAGTGTGTGGTGTGTTTGGGTGTGGTTTGTGTGTGGTGTGTGTGTATTTTGTGTGTGGTGTGTGTGTGTGGTGTGTGTGTGTGATGTGTGTGTCTTTTGTGTGTGTGTGTGTGTGTGGTGTGTGTGTCTTTTGTGTGTGGTGTGTGTGTGTGGTGTGTGTGTGTGTGCGTGCGTGTGTGTGGTGTGTGTGTGTGTGGTGTGTGTGTGTGTGATGTGTGTGTTTTTCTGCCCAGACTAGAGTATCCAGGATTCACATCTCAAGGATGAAAATGTAACAGTACAAATCCCGTAGACCCTGTTCAACCTTATAGTCATATAGCACAGTTATAATGGGGTGCTACGAAATGCGTACAAAGCATCTGTAGCTGAATCTGAGTGGATGACAATGTGATTCAACACACTTTTTCTCATTTTAGCTGACATCACTGTGACTCAAAGAGAAATATCCTGGAGGTCAACGACAATACAATGTGCCCCATGAAACTGTGGACGGAAAGGAACTATTTGTTATTCAGAAAGTCAACAAAGACCTACCCAAGAGCTGTACACACAATGTCATATTTTGCCTTTCCTTCCACAGCACGAAGTGGCCCTAATGTACGATTCTGTCTACCTCCTGGCATACGCTTTAGAACGTTATGACAAATCTGCAATTTTAAGACCTGTCAACGCCAGTTGCAGCAATCCCGTCCCCTGGGCCTCTGGACCAAGTCTCTACTCCTTCCTCAACCAGGTTAGTACCCTATCTGTACAGTGAAACACCATACATTCATTGATTAATGCCTTATTATCATCATCTTCTTATTCTCTTCATCATGATAATATTTTTCTTCTCTTTATCGTAAGATTCTTCTTCTCCTTATCATCATCATCATCATCATCATCATCGTCAGCAGCTATTCTTCGTTTTCCTTTTCCTCTTCTTCTTAGCGTTCACGGCTCTAAATTCCAGCGGAAAATCCTGGTTATTGTGGTTGTTTAGCCACTCACAGACGTAGCTGGATCTAAGACTTGATTTTTGCGTGTACATCAGAGGTATTGATTAGACTGTGTGTTTCTCGTCTTACAGGCTGATGTACTCCGACTTGGAAGAAAACGTTCCCATCTCTGTTAGTCTGGTCCCAGTTTGAGAACCGTTTCTAAAAAGATCTTGAAATAGTTAAGACAGATCTTAACAGAATTCTGTCCGTGGACTCAGAAACTACTTGCTTTACACATTTTCAGATAAAAACATTTAAAGTAACCGCTACTGTAAGAGTAAAAACAAAATTGTCTCCTACATAATTGACATCCCAGACGAATAATTTCCGAAATGCAAATATTCCCTTGCCATTCTTCAAGTCTGTTTATGACAGTACTTAATGAGAAACATTATCCGTGATATTACAGTTCGTTTCCTTGAATTTGAAAGGAATTATAATTAGGTGTTAACTTTTTTGTTTTGCAAACTGTTGTTATAAGTTTTTAAATTACTTGTTGAAATAGAGAAGGGAATTTGACTGCGGTGATGGGAATAGAAAAAAAAATTCATAGAAATTTACAAATAGCGTATTTTTATACACACGGAAAAAAAATCATTTGTTTTTGAAGTATTGCAACAGTTTACTATGAGTGCAAACTTTGTTAAGATGCCAATATGCTGACAAAAACGTTTTTTTTTTTTTTTTTTTACGTATACATTTTCGTTTTAAAGTGGTTGGAAGAAGATGAGCATGAATGAGAAATGGTTACTTGCTGGTAAAGAAGTTAAATACTTTATTGTGACTGTTAAACACCTAAATATTACGTAATCTGTTTAGCACTTTCTTTTCAATGAGACACCGTTTATTATTGTAAACGCGATTGTGTATTTTCTTACCAAAGAGAAGCAATTAAATATTAATTCTTCAGTTGAGCTGATTCAAGAACTTACATCACGGCACTCAGGGTATTTCTATAAGTGCTCCGTCCCCATCTTCAGCAGCCAGTGCAGAGTTCCAGTACCAGTGGTGCTAGCAGGAGTCTGAATCTATATCCGTCTTGCCTTTCCTCTGAGCGTCGAGTATTGACCACATCGCTTCGCCACTCCTCGCTGCATTTCTTTCACCAGACTGTGATGATCAAATTGTTGCTACGAACTGTTCACACGCTCCCATGTGGCCCTAACCAGACCTGCCTTATATATCAGTATTCCACCAACGTCTGCAGAACCAGCCAAACTGTCCAGCTGTTTATTTCCCAACACACCAACATTACCTTAAAAGGAAAAAGACAAAGATCTTCGCTCGTGACTCCCGAAGAGAAGCATGCCACTCAGCACGATGCATGCATGTCTTTTCTTTCATAGGTATTTTTATTGTTGTTGAGTCTGTTACAATCACAATGTCCGCATTGATGTTATCTAGTCAGCGAAAAGCTACAGTGACCGTTTCTACCTCTATTCATAAGCTGGTTGTTGTGGTATCATATGTTAGGTTCTCCTGCATCAATCGTCGACCATTGGCTTCGTGCGCGACTATTGCCTCTTCACAACGAACCCTCTTTATAAATGATCACATCACCCGAGCGTGGAATATCCTGAATTAACTTCTGAAGTTCCACCTGCGTTGCGCCTGCAGCCACTTCCTGTACTCCCGGCTAAATATGATCATAACTACACAAGTCTGACTGTACCGCTGGCATTATGACCCACTGCTGTCCTCGCCTTAAGCTTTCCACGATGCACACCTATCTGATCGTGTCCTCCTCCTCCTGAGCCATCCATGACTTCCCTTTTAATAGCCGCAGACCCTTATCTGTATCTAGCGCGCCA